ATCCCCTAGGGTTGCGTAGTCTGTATATATATCTTGTTAACTATTTGGCTGTGAGCCAGCCCCTGGGAGTGAGTTTTATTCCAGGCCCAGAATGTATCCCAGGGCCCTAGTGTTGGGGGTCTCATCAGACTCTATCCTACCAGTAATTCTGGTCTTTATTGAGGTTTTGGATTTTGTTCCACGTTTTTCCTCCCACTCTCTCCAGGATCTCCAGATTTGATCCTTTCCTGGGTGGTTGGCATTGGCAGCCAGGCACCATCTAGTTCTTCTGGTCTCGAGGGTCATCATGTCCTAAGGCTGATTGCTTCCAATTGCCCTTGTGTGTGTGTGTGTTTTTTTCCCCCACTCTTCTTCACTTCCAATGCTAGGAGACCATTAGTTGCATCTTAGATGGCGGCTTGAAAGCTTTTAAGACCCCAGTTGCTACTCACCAATGTAGGATGAGGAACAAGACTTTTATGTATTTTGTTGTGTCAATTGTGTCAAGTGTCCCCCGGTACTATGGTCCTGAAACAGTAGCTCCATTGGATCTCCCTCCCATAGTGTCTGGGTGTCTGTGAGGGAATGCTCTGTGTTTGTCTTCTATTGTTTCTGTAAGGATTGCAGGTATTTTATATCATTGATATCTGTGCAAGATTAGCTTGCACTGAATCTATCCTTGGTCTAGACTGTACTCCTGTTCACTGACCCCCATCTGGTCCTCTCTGGTGTTTATGTGTTTATCTGTAGCCTGGTGTTTGGTGTTAATGGTAATTCAGTATTGTGGGCACACTGGTTGGTATTAGCAATTGTCATATATCTCCTCTGTGCACAATTCAGTGTCCTCCCTTTTCCTAATGTTACCATGGTGGTCTCAGACTCTTTCCATATATCTCTCCCCTTATCCACATCAGCGTGTGGGCCCTAACTAGCCTGAAATTAATCTGTCCCCTTCCCTCCCCACCCCAGTAACCTAGAACGTGAGTCCCCTTTCCCAAGTAAACCCTTTGTCTTTTTACAGTAATGGGCTCATACAGTACTTGTCCTTCCATGATTGACTTATTTCCCTCAGCATAATGTTCTCCAGGCTCATCCACATTGTGAGGTGGTTCACATATCCCTCGAAAAATGAAAATTTTAAAATTTATGAATCACTGTTACTATTTATCATATTGTGCAATGCCAGTTTCAAATAAAAATATAAGAACATTTCATTCCTATGC